GCTGGACCCCGGGCCCTGGGGGGACAGGGCGCCCAGGAACCCCCTCCCCCCACCCCGCACGACCCATGGCCCTGGGTAACAGCAAGTGGCGGCCATGGCCTTGGACCGGTGGTCTGCCCAGGAGCGGCACATGGAGGCTGGACCCCAGGGCGGAGCGCACACAGCTGGGCAGCGGAGGGACACTGCACCCACACGTGGGGTCCTGCGCTGGTCAGGCACAGCGGAGGGCGCCCGCAGGTGGGGCTGAGGAGCCTGAGCTAGGGCTTTGCAGGGGGGAGGCAGTCAGAGGTCGGTCCTTCCAGGAAGGGTGAGGCCTCTGGGCCGCAGCAAACTCTTGACCCTCCCTCCCTGCTCGGCTGTGCTGTGGCTGGAGCACCGCAGGAAGCGGGCGCAGAGGGCCTGGGGGGGCCATGGTAGGGGAGGGCAGAGAAGGGGTGGGGGCTTCTGGGAGGCTCTGAGCAGGGAGGGGGGGATCCAGGGACCCCCCAGGTGTGTGTCTGCCTGCGTCTGGCCTGAGGGTGTGGGTGTGTGGGAGTTTGGGGTCCTGGCCACACCTCCCCTCATGGAGTGGGCCTGCTCCCCTCCTGCATCTCGTCCACTGTCCTCAGGGCCTGGTCAGCAGCAGACATCTGTGCCCCAGCAGGCAGGGTCCCCCGGGGTCAGGGTTTGAGGGTGTCAGATGCAGAAGCTCTCCCGGGCCAGGGCCAGTGGTGTCTGAGAACTGGCTGCACCTGCCGAGTGGGCGTGCACCTGGGGTGGGCGTGCACCTGGGGTGGGCGTGCACCTGGAGTGGGCGTGCACCTGGGGTGGGCGTGCCCCAAGAGTGGGCGTGCACCTGCCGAGTGGGCGTGCCAGGAGCAACCATGCCTCTTAGCCTGAACATTCTCTCCCCTCTGGCCGGAGCCCTCACCTCTTCCCTCCCCCTCCTTTCTGCAGAAAGACCCAGGCCAGCCAGGTGTGAGGCACACAGGTGTGTGTTTGTGTGCGTGTGAGTGTGCCCGTTTACACACAGTGTGCGCGCGGGTGCGGGTAGGATGTGCACAGTGCCTGAACCCCTAGGCGATGCCTAGAATCACAGGCTCGTTGGGGTCCTCCTCCTGGGAAGCTTTCTCTGACCTGCCTTCCCAGGGGGACTGCAGCGCCCCTCCCTCCTCGCTGGCCTCAGTGCCTCTTCCTGGAAGAAGTCTTTCCTCCAGACCCGCCCCCCAACCGCGTGGACTCTGCCAGCTGCTGCCAGGCCCAGCTGCAGGCCGGTGGGGAGGCCGGCAGTTTGAACCCAGGCTCCTATATCCACGGACGGAGCCGTCCCCATCTCCCGTGCCCGAGGGGCTCAGGCCAGCCCGGACCCTCTGTCCCTCTGCTCTCCCCCTGGCCTGGTGGCGGCCTCCAGGTCGTCATGGGAGCCCGGGGTCTGAGGAGACTTCCCTGCTCCTAGGGGCCCGGCGGGTCTGGGGCCGTCCACTCCGCTGTGTGGCCTTGGCCGCTGGCTGGACCTCTCTGAGCTCATTCCGTTTTCTCGTGTGTGGAGGCGGCCCTGGCAGGAGGACTAGCTGAGCTTGGTCTGTAGGAGGGCCGGCCCGGGCCCGCCCATCCCTCTGTGAAGAAACGCTGACACCTCGTGGTCGAGAGGCGTAACGCCTTCTCGGGGACCAGTGCCTTCCGAGATGCTGGCGGGTCACGTGTAATTTACATTTCCTAGTGGCCACACGAAGGAACCGGTCACATGAATCCTAACACTACGCTGTGTTCAACGCAGGGTCGGTGAGGGCACAGGGTTAGGTCACGGCCTCCTCCCCCGGTCCGAGCCGCCCCGAGCCCTCCCCGGCACCCACGCTCCCTGTTTCCTGCCCCCACCACCGCCCAGCTCCTCTCCCTCCCAGGACTCCTGTCTGGGCTTAAGTCCCCCCGATTTCGGTCCCTGGGGCCAGGCTTCCCTCCTGGCCTCACAGACCTGCTCTGATGGGCTCGCAGGCAGTGTTGGCTGTGGCTGGTGTTACAGGCTCCCAGGGTCTCCTTCCTGTTGGGTCCATGTGTCTGGGCCTCGAGGGGGGCCTTTGAGCCCCTAAATACTGTGTGTTCTCTGTGAAGGGGCCCCCGGCCCGGGAGGCGGAATAAAGCCGCACCTGCCAAGTGTTCTGGAGGGCAGGGAGCCGGCGCCCCAACTCCCAGGGACCCCGACTGCCGTGGGGTGGGTCAGGGGTGGGTGGGCCCCTGTGGGGCTCTGTGGGTCCCTGACTAGATGTCTGGGAGTTTTATGAACGTGATGTGCAGCCTCTAGAGGCTGGAAGGTGGCCGCGAGGGAGGTGTTGGCACCGGGGCATGGCGGACGCTGGGCAGGCCCTGTCCTCGGGGGGTGCGGGGGGCAGGTTTGCAGACGCTGCTGGGCTCGGGGAATCCCTCACGCCCTGGCTGTCCGCCTCCCTGGAGCCACCTGAGCCCTGTGACTCGGTGTCGCACCTGTGCACTGGCGGGGGGCGGGGCACCTGGGGGCAGGGGGACTGTGAGGACAGAGATGCAGCTGTGGGGCCAGCGCTGGTGGGGCCCGGCCAGCATCAAGTCTGAGGGGGTGACTGACGGCAGGATCTGCACCCCTAACCGAGCTGCTTTCCCTTCGCAGGCGGCTGCCGCCGGCCGTCGACCCCAGACAGCGGTACGTTCGCGGGCTGCACCCGTTTCTGTGTGTGGGAGCGATGCAGACCCCCCACCCCCACCCCGACCCCATCAAAGCATTTTAAAGAGCCGAACCCATGGCTCTGAAGTGTGATGAGGAACGTGGCCCATTAATCAAATCCAGGCGCTTCCTAAGCGGCTGGAAATGAGACCCAAGGGACAAGGAAGGACCCCGCCCTGGGCCTGGGCCCCTGCCAGGTCCGGCTCCTGCTGGCTGGCCCTTCCCTCCCCCGCTCCCCCGGCC